AATAAAATCTCACTCCAGAGCTTAGGATGATATTAACAATCAACAGCCAGATCCTACCCTTCTCTTCAGGGTAGACTGTGACTGAGGGTTGTTATCTTTTATAACAGTCAGAGTCTGCATTGTTTCCCAAGTATTGTAATGGACTGTTACAATCAGATTCTGCAATGTTCCTCGGGGTTGTAATGGGCTGTGATAGCCAGATCCTATACTATTCTTGAGATTTGTAATGAACAGTGACATTGAGATCATGCACTGTTCCTGGAGGTTGTACTGTGCTGTGACTGTTAGATTTTGCACTCATCTAAGGTAGATTTAAATAAATTTTATTTGAAGGATGTGAACAAAGGATCCCAGGATTGGAATTACAATTGTTACATGTTCATCATCAAGCCAAATTTTAATTCCAAATTTTATCAGATTTAAATTTCACCATCTGCCATGGTGAGACTTGAATCCATGTCCCCACTATATTGTCCGGGCTGCAAGGTTACTGTTCCCATAACAGTACCTCACAGCCTGCCCCGGGTCCATGTAGAGGTTTGATATTTAACCAGAGCAAACAAGAAAGTACCTCAGGGTTGTTCTTATTACACTATGAATTAAGGAAAGGTTAGACAGCATGCCTCTATTTAAGATGCAGAGTACCCATTAGAATAAGATTTTGTTCTTTGGTTATTTTACTAATCAACATGAATTCAGTCCCACAGATGTGTGATTGCAATAAGCAGGAAACAAGCTGTGCATTCCTATTGAATTCTCTGACATCTGCTTGTCCTTTGGTTGCCAGATTTTCTTTTTTTGTTTGTGAAATCTGGGCATTTCTGGCTGTATTGCCCGTCCCTAGTTGCCCTTGAGAAGGTGGCGGCAAGCTGCCTTCTTGAACTGCTGCAGTCCACCTGCTGTGGGTTGACCTACAATGCCATTAGGAAGGGAATTCCAGGATTTTGACCCAGTGATAGTGAAGGAACAACGATATATTTCCAGGTCAGGATGGTGAGTGGCTTGGAGGGGAACTTGAAGTTGGTGGTGTTCCCATGTTTCTGCTGCTTTTGTCCTTATAGATGAAAGTGGTCATGAGTTTGGAAGGTGCTGTCAGAGGATCTCTGGTGAATTTCTGCAGTGCATCTTGTAGATAGTACACACTGTTGCCACTAAGCATTGGTGGTGGAGGAGTGGATGCTTGTGGTGTGGTGCCAATCAAGCGGGCTGCTTTGTCCTGGATGATGTCAAGCTTCTTGAGTGTTGTTGGAGCTGCACCCATCCAGGCAAGTGGTAAACATTCCATCACGCTCATAACTTGTGCCTTATGGATGATGAGCTATGCTCTGGGGAGTCAGGAGATGGATTACTTGCCACAGTATTCCTAGCCTCTGACCTGTTGTTGCAACCACTGTGTTTATGTGGTGAGTCTAGTTGAGTTTCTGGTCAATGACAACCCCCAGGATGTTGATGGTGGGGGATTCAATGATGGTAACGCCATAGAATGTCAAGGGGCAGTGGTTAGATTGTCTCTTATTGGTGATAGTGATAGCCTGGCATTTGTGTGGCACGAATGTTACATGCTACTTGTCAGCCCTAGCCTGGATATTGTCCAGATCTCGTTGCATTTGAACATGGACTGCGATGAACAGTGCTGAACATTGTGCAATCATCAGCGAACATCCCCACTTCTGACCTTATAAAGGAGGGAAGGTCATTGATGAAGCAGCTGGGGGTGGTTGGGCCGAGGAAACTACCCTGAAAACCCCAAGATGTTTGAAATCATCACTTTTAGGCTTGGAAAGATGAGAGGTCTTTGTTGATAATATCTTTAATAAACCTGTTCAAAGATACTACTGCGTATTTCTGGAAAAGGTGGGACTTGAACTCTTGCTATACTGCTTGATGGAAAATCATTTTGGCTAGTGTGATGCTAATCAAAAAGCTTACTTTCCAGCGCAGCTGTGAATGTTGCTTACAACATGCATGTACATAATTTGGTTCCTGGCTAATTATTCCTAGCTGTTTACAGACAATGCAACTATATCACATGATCTTCTAATCCCCATTTAGGTGCGGCATCAAATGGGTGTACTTGGCACAATAATAGTGAATACTGAATCTTACAATAGCATTCTGTGGACAGCTTGTGTGGTCTGGCAGGATTACAATCTGCAATACCTCATCCTTCAAATTGAAACATCCGAGCAGAAGTGGCCTATCAGCCTACCGAGCCTGCTCTCCCATTTGAGATCATGGCTTATCATTTACTTCAACATCTTTACTCATGCTACCCCCATATCCCTTGATGTCATTACTTTCCATTTCTGTCTCAAACCTACTCAATGACTGAGTTTCCACAGCCTTTGGGTAGACAATTAGTGGAGGCCCTTTTTCTAACACTTTCTAGCTACAAGCATATTGTTGGAGGTGTGGGGATTCCTAAGGTGGTACCATTTTATAAAAAGGAACAAAGTAAATTTACAGTCATCAGCCTCTTTTCAGAGATGGGCACATAATTAGACAACTTTCTGACAGACAGCGTAGTTCATACTTCATTAGTCATGGAATAATCAAGGACGAAGGAGACACAAGGGGTAATATTGTGTGTGAACTGCCGCTTTAATACTTCCATGGGAAATACGCGTTGCTCACTGGGCCAGCATTTGTTGTCTATCCCTAATTGCCCTTGAGAAGGTGGCTGTGAGCTGCCTCTTAAACCGATTCAGTCTTTGGGGTGTAGGGAGACCCATGATGCTATTAGGGAGGGAGTTCCAGGATTTTGACCCAGTAACTGAATGAGCAATGATATATTTCCAAGTCAGAATGGTATGAAGCTTGGAGGGGAACTTGGAGGTGATGGTTTTCCTATGTATCTGCTGCCCTTGTCCTTCAAAGGGGCAGAGATCACAAGTTTGTAAGGAGCCTTGGTGAATTGCTGCAATACATCCTGTACAAATTGATGCCACTGTGAAGAATGATGCAAATGCTTCAGCCATACCTTTTGCATGATGTGTAGGGCTCCTACATTGTTGAAGATAGAAATATTTGTACAGACTCCTCCTTCAGTGAGATGTTTAATGGTCCACCACCGTTCACAACTGTTCTGTAGAAGGGTCACTAGACCCAAAATGTTAATTCTGATTTCTTTCCACAGATGCTGCCAGACTTGCTGAGCTTTTTCAGCAATTTATGTTTTCGTTTCTGATTTCCAGCATCTGCAGTTCTTTCAGTTTTTACCATTCATAAATGAATGTGGCAGTACTGTAGAGGTTAGATCTAACCGATAGGCTATTGGATTGCTTAGCCCTATCTCTTGCATGCTGCTTTCATGATTTGGCACATAAGTAGTCCTATGTTGTAGTCTCATCAGAAAGATACCTCACTTCCATGCCCCGTGCTGCTCCCAATATGCCTTCCTCTACTCTTCATGGAATGAGAGTTTATCTCCCAGCTTGATAGGGCATTCCCAGCTATGAAGTTCAGATAATGGTCAGATACAATTCTGCTGTTAATGTGGTCCATAGCATCTCAGTGATCCCCAGTTGCTAGATCCATTCAAAGCCTGTCCCATTTAGCTCAATGCATACCACACAACTAAGGAAATCCTCAATGTGAAGACAGAACTTTATCTTCACAAGGACTGTGCAGAGATCACTCCTGCGATACTGTCACAGACAGACTCATCTGCAGCAAACAGATTGGTGAGGATTAAGTCAAGTAGGTTAGTTTTTTTTTCTTTTAACATTAGTTCCCTCACCACCTGCCACAGACCCAGCCTAGCAGCTATGTCGTTTAGGACCCGGCCACATCATCCAGTAGTGGTGCTACTGAGCCACTCTTGGTGATGGTTATTAACATCCGTAAACACAAGTTACTGCAGATACATTATTAATAACAATTTAGAAGAAGAACATTCCAGCTGAAAGGTGGTGTTTAAAGACAGAATTGGGCCAGAAGTATTGATGAAGACAGGATTGGGCCAGTTGTGCTGATGAAGACAGGATTGGGGTCATTTGATTTGGTAATTACAGGACTTTTAGTCAGTTATGCCAGTGACGATAGGATTGGGGTCAGTTGCATTGTTGGCAATGGCTGGTTGTGATTGTGTGTCCAGTGCTCAAGCCACTTTATTGAATTGCAACATTCTGGGGTTTTTTTAGAACAAGATGTTCCTCAGTTTCTTAAAAGTTGGTCTCTACTGGCTTGCTTGAGCATCAAAATTTAGATTTGCATCAGTTCGGACTTGAGGTTTCTCATTCAGATCTGTCACCATCAGATGGTGATGGAATCCATCAGGGATAAGGAGAGAAAGTGTGCCTGTTAAAAAGTGGCTTCAGGTAGGATGGCTGACCACACCTTTCATATAGCAAAGGACTTTAGCCATTGCTTCAGGGTGAATTACCCAAACTTTACAGGTTTACTACTAGTTACACGAAGTTATAGGTGCAATGATATACTATCCTATGAATTACAGATCAGTAAGTTATTATTGTAGGAGCAAGAGGAGACCTTTCATCTGCTGGAGTCTGCTCTTCTATTTTAGATCATGGTTGATCATCAACCTCGAAAACCTCATACTAGAAATCTATCAATCACTGTTTTGAATTTACTCAATGATTGACACTCTGCAGACTTTGGATGGAGAATTCTAAAGATTCACCACCCTCTGAGTGAACAAATTTCTCCTCATCTTAGTTTTAAATAGCTGGCCTTTTATTCTGAAGCTGCTCTCAAAAAAAAACACCTTGTTTCTAGAAATCTATTTTATGGCAGCAATTGCTGCGGATCATCAGGAATTAAAAACTCAACTGGGTGGGACTCAATGATACCAGATCAATAATTCAGTGACATAATTGGTTGAAAGTCTAAGGAATTCATCTTTTCTGAATAGAGAGGTAAGGTTTATTAAACTCCCAGCTCTGTGATAGAGGTGTTAACAAAGAGCAGTTTTCCCAAAACTCCTGAGGAACAGAATCATCACAGCCATATGCTTGATGAAAATTAAAGCACAACCAAAGTTCTTTAACATTTTATGTGTATTTTGTTTTTTTAAGTGCACTGTACAGAGTTAATGAAGAAAGAGAGTTGCATGTAGGGTATAATATAGATGATACAGCCACAGAGTGGCCACCGAGACTTTATTGGATGTTGACAGCCACGTGCACTTTCCAATTGTGTCAAACATCATGGACAAACTAAGTAGTTCTATCCATCAGGTTTGCCACTGCAAATTTCAACATTTTTCTGTTCTTCCTCATTTTGTTGTTTGAAATGCGGTCCATTGGATACAAGTAAAAAAATGTGATTCTTGCACAGTCCAAAAAAAGATATTGCTTGCATTGGTCAGAAAGGCACAAGTTCCATGATGTAATGTCTTGGGCCTGTCAGGTGTTCAACCATTTAGAACCATCTGCACCAATTCTGGGAAACAAATGACAAACAGCATGAGTGATGAGGTGGAATACTGAACCAGTCACTCAGAGTTGGCTTTAAAAGCACCAATTTCCTATACACCACTGCTCTTCCTGAGAACTACAATACTCCCTCTTTCCCTCCAAAATGCAACAAGGCCAGCATTTATTGTCCATCCCTTAATGCCCTTGAAGTGAATTATTTGCTGGGCCGTTTCAGTGGGTAACTAAGAGAACAGTCATCACATTGTTGTGGTCTAGAATCACATGTAGACCAGATTAGAAAAAGATGGCAGATTTCTTTCCCTTAAAAAAAGAAAAAGGGCATTAACAAACCACGTGAGTTTTTATAATAATAAACAGTGGTCAGTATTTGTCGAGCTCTTTATTCTCATTTGTTTTGATTATCTACGTGGAATTCTAGATTACTGTTTCAGCTGCCTTCCCTTAATTCTGCACCATTCCTAATCACTGAGTCAGAATTGCCGAAGTCTTAACTAATCGTTTCATGGGAGACATCTTCACCACACCAATTGTGGAACTCATTGAAAATGCACATCACCACCTTCTGTGTAACAATTAGGGATACGTAATAAATGCTGGCCTTACCCTGTCACCCCTATCCTGAAAACGGTGGAGAACATCTCATGCAGACCTTGCCTCTTGACCTTGCTCAAGTAATTTTCACATTTAGAATGGTTAAAATGTTACACATCCAAACTATAGAAACCATACAGTGCAAAAAGAGGCCATTTGGCCCATTGAGTCCACACCAACCCACCAAATAACATCCCAGCCAGATCCAGTACACCACTTTATCCCTGTAAGCCTACATTCACCATGGCTAATCCACCTAGCCTGCACATTACGGACAATTTAACACAGCCAATTCACCTAACCTGCACATCTCTGGACTGTGGGAGGAAACCGGAGCACCCGGCAGAAACCCATGCAAACATGGGGAGAACATGCAAACTCCATTCATAGACAGTCACCCAAGGCTGGAATCAAACCTAGGTCCCTGGTGTTGTGAGGCAGCAGTGCTAACCACTGAGCCACCATGCTGCCCTTATAATTAAGGTTGACACTTTCATAAAACCAGTTTAAACATTTTCTGAAGGCACGGGTTATTTTGAAAACTGCCACAATTAAATGTGATGTAATCCCATTGTACAGGAGCCTAAAACAGTCCCACTGAGCAAGAATAGTGGCAACTTTCTGCACCAAGACCAAAACTAGTTCTATTTATTCCTCCCACTCATGTCTCTGTTTGTCCCAATTCTTAAAAAAAAGTATCATTCAGGCTATTTGTTCACTCAAACAGGACTGTCTGGATCTTTATTCATTAATGGGATGAGGGCGTCACTGTCTATGCAGCATTTATTGCCCAGAGGGCAGTTGAGAGTCAATCACATTACTGTGGGTCTGGAGTCACATGTAGGCCAGACCAGGTAAGGATGACAGTTTCCTTCCCTAAAGGACACTAGTGAACCAGATTGGTTTTTCCCTGACAATTGACAATGGATTCATGGTTATCATTAGATTCTTAATTCCAGATATTTTTATTGAATTCAAATTCCATCATTTGCTGTGGCAGGATTAGAACCCAGGTCCCCAGAATGTTATCTGGGTCTCCGGATTAATAGTCTAGCAATAATATCACTAGGCCATCACCTCCCCTCACAGATTTGCAGAATAAAATGGCAACAGGTGATCAATTGGTGCACAGTAAAACAAATCCTGCTACCACTGGCAAAGAAGAAATTGTGAAAATTAAAACAGGCAACTAAAAGTAAACAAGCAAATGCATACCATGGGGATCCATTTTAAATGGACATGATGTGTTTGACAAAAGCTGCCAAAAGGAAACAAAAAATTAATAACAGAATAGAAAGAAAGATTCCAAAATAAATTTGAACAAACTGCAAAAGATGACACAACAGAATTATGGGAGATGCCCAAGTTTGTTCAAACACCTACCCTCATAGTTAATGCACCCGTTGGGATCCTCTTGACCTGACAGTAGTTGTTCTACCTGTTCCTCTGTCAGCTTCTCACCTGGTGGACAGAACAGGTCACTGTATTAAAATCTCCTTCAAAGCAAACAATGCCCTTCCTCACACAGTTTCAGTCCAGTGATTACAATCCTACAACTACTTTCCCCATTCCCAGATATATTAAAAACAGTGCCTTGGCAATATGGAGGTGTTGCATTTCAATGTCCAAAACAGGCCAGAAAAATAAAACAAAAACAGAAATTGCTGGACAAACTCAGCAGATTTGGCAGCATCCATGGAGAGAGGAAGAGTTAACACTGAGGTCAGTGACCTTCTTCAGAACTCAGTTAACTCTGGTTTTTCTCCATAGATGTTGCGAGACCTGCTGAGTTTTCCAGCAATTTCCATTTTTGTTTCACATCTCCAGCACCCACAGTCCTTTGTTTTATTCCAGGAAAACAAAAGCCTTGCATTACAGACTGATGAAATTCTCAGCAACAGAAGAAAACTGGCGCACAAAAAAAAAGTGAGAATGAAACGTGTTTAAAACAAGTAGATCACACAAATTCCAAACTCACAGGAGAATACAATGCAAAAGTGACCTGCTCACTGAGCAGGGTCGCAGGTGAAATTTCATAATGAGCAATGTCTAAATCAGGTTACATAAACATCCTATGACATAGAAGCAGACTATTCAGCCCATCATGTCTGCTCTGCCATTTAATGGGACCATGATAATCCTTCGACTCCACTTTCCTGCCTTTTCCTCATAACCCTTGATCTCCTTACGGATTTAAAGTCTGTCTGTCTCAGCCTTGAATATACTTAATGATCCAGCCTCAACAGCCTTCTGTGGTAAAGAATTCCACATATTCACGACCCTCAGAAGAAATTCCTCCTCACCTGTCTTAAATGTACAACCCTTTACTCTGAGATGATGCTGTCTAGTCCTAGACTCTTCCACATGGGGAAACAACTTCTCAGCATCTACCCTGCCAAGACCTTGTAGAGTCTTGTGTCTCGATGAAGTCATCTATCATCCTCTAAACTCCAATAAGTACAAACCCAACCTATTCAACCTCTCCTTACAAGACAGTCACTCTACACTTGGCATCAGCCTAGTGATTCTTCTCTGGACAGCCTCCAATGCATATCTTTAAATTTAAAAAATGGCCAAAAAATATTTAACAGTATTCCAACTATTGTCTGACTACTTTGTTGTTTTGTTTTACAAAACCTCTATTTTTATATTCCATTCTCTTTGAATGAAGGCCAACATTCCATTTGTCTTTCCTATTAACTGAACTTGAATGCTAGCTTTTTGCAATTCATGGGCAAGGACTCCCAAACGCCTCTCAAAAGCTGTAACTTTCTGCCATCTTCTTTGAATTATTGTTGTCACATACTGTAATACAGTGAAAAGTGTTGTTTTGCGTGCTATACAGGCAGATCACATCATACAAAATACATCAGAGTAGCAGAACAGAGTGCAGAATACAGTGTTACAGCCACAGAGAAGGTGCAGAGAGAGAGATCAGAATTAATATTTTTGAGGTCTGTAATATTCAGCTCCTCTATTCCTCCAACCAAAATGCATAACCTCACATTTTCACACATAATATCCATTCACCAAGCTTTTGCCAACGAACTTAACCAGTCTATATCTCTCTGTATACTTTGTCATCCTCAACACTAGCCATCCCATCAATTGGTGTCATCTGCAAACCTGGTATTGTACATTCACTTTCTTGATACAAGTCGTTAATATGTACTGTAAATAATTGTGGCCCCAGCAATGATCCTTGTGGCTCACCACTAGTTACAGTTTGCCATCCTGAAAATGGCTCCTTTATCCTAACTCTATCTTATAATTGTTAGCCAATCCTCCATCCATGTTAATAAACTACACCCAGCAGCATGGATTCCTGTCTTATTTTGTATCCTAATGCTGGACATTATCAAAATTCAAATATGTTACACTTACTGGTTGCTCTTTATCCTATTTGTTACCTCCTCAAAAGAATTCTATAAATCTTTCAGGATTAATTTCCCCTTCATGAAGCCATGCTGACTCTGATTGACCATACGGCATATGTCTAAATGCTCCGCAGTTACATCCTTCATAATAGACCCTAATAGTTTCCCAATAACAGATGTTAAACTAACTGGCCTATACTTACCCGTTTTTATTTATTTCCCTCATTCCTGAATAAAAAGATATTATATTGGCAGTTTTCTAATCCTCTGGGACTTTTTCAGAATCTAAGGATTCCTGGAAGAGTATTACCAGTGCATCTACTATCTTTGTAGCTACTTATTTTAATATCCTAGGATGCATCCCATAACATCCAGAGGAGTTACTGGCATTTAGCGCCATTAGTTTCGCTAGCATATTTTCCTCTAGCGATAGTAACGATGTTTGTTTCCTTCCCACCTTTAGCCCCTTGACATATTTCATATTTTTGGAATGCTACAAGTTTCCTCTACCATGTGGGCTGATGCAAAGAATTTGAGTCACTGTTCCCTAGGAAATCTTTTACTGATATCATTTATTAAACTTACCTCAGGTCCAAAATAGCCTGATCCCCAGTTGGATAATGTTCAACATAAAGTTCTAGGAAACTTTCCCAAATAAACTTATGAATTCTTCCTCATCACTACCTTTGCCCATTTGACTTTCCCAATCTACACAAAGATAAAAACCAAGTACTTCAATGCAATGCCTCCCAGAGGCTCCAACACAGACCACGCTGCATGGCTCCAAGAGGCTTCAGAACTTCCCCAGTTGGCTTTGGCACCTCCTGTTTGCTGTTTGAAACACAATTAGATCGGATCATGACTTATCAGCTTTATTCACCCTTCTTCTCTGTATATTACTCGGGGGCCTCTTATTTTTATTTCATTGGTTGTTCCTCAATCCTCATCTTTTGCTATGTATTTCTGCTGCCTTTTCAGTGTTTGCTTTCTCATTTTCTAATCCATCTCTTACATCCACCTCTCAAATGCCTCCGTAAAAGTCATTAAAGAGGTTTGGAACACCTGTTCCATCAGGTATTCAAGATCCCATGCCACTGGAGCAGGGAGCTCCCTCAGTGTTTCACCACTTACAGGTTCCCTGGCCATTTACTGGAAGAACTCCACAGAGGCCGGTATCTGGTCACCAAGTCACCTTTTATTTACACGTGGGGAGTCCTTGACACTGATCCAGCTACCCCAGAGTCAACTCAGAATAAACAGGACGTCCTTTACTCCTGTTTATCTGTCAGCCAGGGCCCCCTAATCAGGCCAAATTAACAGCCCCAGTCAGGGATCTCATTCTGTGAAGTCCACCTGGCTGACCTTGTTGCAATCACTACATTTATCTCCTTACTTTTTGAAGAGGTAACAGAGTTAATAGGAGAAGGCTGTTGATATGGTATACATGGACTTACAAAAAGTATTTGATATAGTGCCACACAACAGACTTGAGGAATGTTACAGATCACGAAATGGGACGGTCAGTAGCAGATTGGATACAAAATAGGCTAGGTGATACGGAATAGAGAATAATACTGAATGGGTATGTTTCAGATTGGAGGAAGGTTTGCAGTGGACCCTTGCTTTTTTCAATATAAAATTGTCTAAGTCTTGGTGTGCAGGGAACAATTTCAAAATTTGCAGTTGACAGGAAACTTAGAAGAATTGTAAACCATGAGGAAGAACAGTCTAGAGTTCAAAAATGACATAGACAAGTTGGTGGATTGGTGGCGGGTGAGTTCCAATGAAGAAAAGAGAGAGATCTGGCTTTCAGTAGCACAAACATTGATAGACAGTAAAATTGGGAGTACAATTCTAAAGTAGGTGTAGGAGCAAAGGTATCAAGGTGTATATGAGCACAGATGATTGAAGGTAACAGGACAGATGGAGAGGGCAGTAAGTATACAGTGCTCTCAGTTTTATTAATAGGGATATACAGTATAAGAGAAAGGGGTGGTTTGAATTTGTATAAGGCCTCAGCAGGAGTATTATGTACAGTTGTGAGCACAACATTATGTGAACAATGTGAAAGCATTGGAGAGACTGCAAATGTTACTTATAAGAATTATACCAGGAATGAGAAACTTTAGTTATGAGGATAGATTGAAGTAGTTAGGATCGCTCTCCTTACAGAGAAGGAGACTGAGAGGAGATCTGACACAGGCTTTCAAAATCATGAGTGGGCTGGACTAGTGAATAGGAAGAAGTTATTCCCACTTGTTAAAAAGGAACAAGAAAGAGAGGACATTAAATTTAAAGTGATCAGCAAAAAGGAGCAAAGGTAATGTGAGAGAAAAAAAATCTTTTTCCCCATACAGTGCGTAGTTAGAGTATGAAATGCACTGCCTGAAAATGTAGTGGAGGCACATTCAATTGAGGCACTGGGCGATCATTTGAATAAAAATAATCTGCAAGGGTATGGGCAGAAAGCAGGAAACTGGCACTAGGTAATAATGCTCATTTGGAGTGCTGGCATTGGGGTCACGATGTCTAATTGGCCTCTTTCTGCACCATAACAATTCTGTGAACTTTATGGAATCTTGCTGTGCAAAACTGACTGTGATGTGGTTGGATCTCCTGGACCAATACAGAGATATTCCTTGACAATTTTTTTTATTAAAAGAAACCAAATGAAGGACAAATCCCCCATCCAATTCCTTCACATGGAAAGCAGGCACATCCCAATTTTAGGAACATTTAAGTGGAAAAGTTGTGTTGGCTGCAACAGGTTCAAACAACAATAGCAAACATGGAGTAGAATCTCAACAAGAAACATAGATTTAAAAATGCAAGTAATGTTCCTAAATGCTAAAATTCAGTTTTGCTCAGGATGGTTTTGCCTTTATGGTTTATGATCGCAGTTAGACATTGCATACCCAGTGTGGCCAGAACGTGGCGAAGTTCAGCCCCCATCACAGTGCCGTTGCCCTCCTTATCAAAGACGCGCAGACCCTCAACAAAGTCTTCATAGGAGCCCTGGTCCTTATGGTTGGCCATCGTCTGGAGCATGGGCAGGAACTGGTCAAAGTCAATGAATTTATTGACCATCTCTAAAACAAAGGCAGCAAAAGATGAATGCTACAAAGCTCCGATAGTCCCCTCATAGAACAATGGTTCTTAATAAAAACAGAAAAAAAAAAGCACAGATGGATGCCATTGGCCAAAGCCAGGGACCTACCCTCGTGGCTGGGGTTGTTCAGGATCTTTTTTACTTCAGCGTTGGTTGGATTCTGGCCGAGAGCACGCATGACATCTGCAACCTGGCTGAGGGAAATCTTGGAATTGCCAGTCCTGTCAAACAGGAGGAATGCCTCCTTAAAGTCTATGGAAGAGAGAACATAACACTGACGAACATCACAGAACGGATAAAACAAAAACACTTGTAAAGAAAATCTGTGATAGCACTGAAAGCACAGATCCAGTCCCACTGCTGTACAATTCAGATTGAATTCAAGGGTTTAGGCTATAGATGCCACATGAAGGAGAAAATTAGTGTAGAAACTAAGCAAGAGGAGCCATAGTAAATGTATCGGACCATGTGCAAACTGTTCGCTTGGATTTGCATATTCAAGTCTATGTTTTCACCTTTTAAGGATGACCAAAGATCCTCCTGGTGAAGTGCAGTCTGGGAGTGGAAAACAAGGGAAAGAATCGTGAATAACAATACCCAGATGTTTCATCATGATTCAGTCAAAGATACGCAGCTATTTATGAGCAAACCCAGAAAACAAAACGTGGACTGGCTAAAGTTAACGTACGTCAGCTCTGTATATCTGACTACTAGCCTGCTGCCTGACAACTGTTCTTTCTACTTATTTAGCGTTTTTTAAACTCCGTCTGGTGCCAGGTCCATTAGAAACATAAGCAGATTCACTCAGAAGATCACTTACGCAGCCTTCAAGACTGACTGTGACCTTTAACATTTCCTATGTTGAGGGGTTCACTCAGAACAGAAGCAATGACTCTGTGGGGCTAACTGAACCATGAAGCTCCCACTGCCACCAAGGGACCAGTGGGCACTTCCCAGGCTGGGATGGTTTAACCAGCCGAACATCACTTTAAACACTTTTTAAAAATTTGATCAGTTTAATTGCAAAAGGTGAATTTTCTGTTCAGCATAGCACTTATCCAACCGTACTAACCCCCCACAGGGGTTTTTCTGTGACACAAACGGGTCTGCGAAATCTCTCAGACCCTAACCGTGCCCATATGACAACCGCTCTGCCCTCCAACCCTGGTGGTTCTCCCTGTCAGCACACAATCGCATTTTATACCTTTCCAACAAGGAAAATCAACAAAAAAAAACTTAACAACCACAGCACCCACACAGAGATAGTAGGAACTGCAGATGCTGGAGAATCCGGCACCCACACGCCCAGCATTCTCCAACACGCGCCCTCCCCGGACTCCCGGGGCCCCACACAATTTCCACCCACACATTCCTAGCACGGTACACATCCCGTTCCTTCCATACACTGCCCCCGCCCTCAGACGCCTCAGCCCCACCACCCAAGGCCTCGGTCAGATCTGGCACCTATTCAAACCAACCTGCAGGACTGATCCCTTCTCCTCGGGACTGACCGATCCACTCTCCCTCTCCCCCGGGACTGACCGAACCCCTCCCCGAAACCGACCGATTCCCCATCTCCTGTTCCCCGGGAGTGACCAATTCCCCCCACCCCCACTCCCCGAGCGGTGTTCAGGAACAGGCCTTCCTGCTCCCACTCCCCACCCATCCCGGTTACCACTCGGGGTGGGGGAGAGAAAGTTGGGTGGGGGGAGAGGTAGGGGGTGGTTGGTGAAGAGCCGCTGCTCACCTTCCTGCTGCTCCGCACTGAACTCGATCTGAAAGAGAGAAAGAGAGAAACCCAAACGGAGATAGAGAGAGGGAGGGTGGAGGGAGAGGTGACCACCCCCGGGCGCCGCGCTGGTTCCCCCACCCATCGATGGAGCCAGCCTCCGGGGCTCCTGATCAAACACTTACCCGCCACCTCGTCTGCTGAGAATGACTGCAAGGCAAGAAGAAAACAGAGATTGGAAACATTGTAAAGGCACCGAGAGGAGGAATGAGTGAGTGAGTTAGTTGGGAGGGAGGGAGAAAATGAATGAGTGAATGCGAGGGAGGGCGGGATGAGTGAACGAATGAATGAGGGCGCGAGAGAGGGAGCAGGGACACCCACCATGGCTGAGGATCCGCAGGAGCAGCGACAGCGAGGACAAACTCTTCCTCCTCACAGACGGTGCTCTCCGAAGAGCCCCTTCGCCTCCTATTTATGTGGCTGCTCGGCTGCTGGGGCCAGCGGCATCAGGTGTCGGATCCGCCCGGACCCTCCCCCTTCTCCCGAGTTCTTTAACTTTCTTAGGGCACGAAGACGGCGGCCAGAAATACACCATCACCCTATTTTGGGACCAAGACTTTTCAGGCAGCAAGAAGCCTGCAACGTGTCAGCACATTCGGCCGGAAAGTCTCTGCTCAGTCAATGACCTCCAGCTGGAACTGTCCTCCTTACATTGACGCCTCAGCTCAGTCAGTGACTCCCTGCTGGAACTTTCCTCCTCACATTGACCCCTCAACTCAGCACTGATTCCCACTTGGCAGGGTACCCCTTGAGGAGGGCCTCACTCTGTGAAAGGCGCCCGATAAATATGCAAATAATCCTTTCTGTAAAAGGATTTAAAGCATTTTTACGGGGTATTATTTATATCATGTTACAGGATTCAATATACCGTAAAGCAGGAGTGCGCTCTCCCTCTCCTTCCTTCACACGTCATTCGCCTTCTTGCCATACCCTCATAAACTTAAGTGATAACCTGTTCAGCTCTACCTCTGACCCCCTAGCCTTCTCAGGACTTTGGAGGAAGAATCTCAGATTTCTGTAACCTTCTAAGTCAAAACCTGCTTTCTGATAACATTCCTAAAATATGTACCTTTACTATAGAGGACTGTTTAGACTACATACATGGTCTGAATAAAATCTGCCACAGTGTTAGAAATTAAACAGTTATTGAAAAAACACCAATGAAATTAGTTGTCACTTCAGATTCCTAGATCTCTTGGTGTGGAAGAATTGAGGACTGAATCTGAGCCCAGCATTGGATGATAGGTCACACCATCACAATGGGCTGTCTGTGAATCGCCAATATCTCCTAGTGTCAAACACACATTATGGAGGGCTGTTGTGGAGCAGTGGTAGAGTCCCTACCTCTGGGCCAGAAGGTCCCAGTTCAAGTTTCACCTGCCCTGTATGTGGGTTATAACATATCCAAATGGGTTGAGTAAAAATAACTAAAACTCATTCTGAGCAGGTAGTTATTTCAAAACACTACAAAGGCTGCACTTCAGCCAACAGCCCAATGAAATCCTTGGTGTAAAACTGGAATACTGCTTTTCAAGAAGTAGTCACCTCTTTGAATGAATGAAGTATGTGTTCCACAGAAGTGTTTGAAATAAGGACAAGCATTGTAAAATCTGGGCTTTACTGGACCAAAAGTCAACATAGATCAGTGAGTGCAGACGTGAGCGGGATTTGAAGTGAGTCTGCATATGGGCAGTGGAGTTCCAGATGAGCTAGAGTTTACAGAAACTGCTCAGCAAAGCATCAAAGGAGGCTGTTCAGCCCATTGTTCTTATGCCAGCTCTTGAGAGTTATTGAATACCTCCCACAACCCTTGTCTGTTCATAATGCAAACATTTCCTTGATAAAAATATATCTTTTTGAAAGTTAATATTGAGTCGACTACTCCCAAGTTTTCACTTTTTCAGAGTATGCAGCACACAAAAATTTTCTCATCTGCCCTCTCTTCCTTTTGGCAAATATGTTAAATCTGTGTCCCTTGGTGACAGACGTCCTGCCAGTGGTGAAGTATCAAAACATTACAAAATATGAAGCACCTCTGTTAAATCTTTCCTTAATCTTCTTTGTCTAAGAATGATCCCAGCTTTTCTCCATGTAACTATTCTAATATAGCCTCCTCTGTACCCAACGTCTTTGATATATGTTTTAAAGTGTAGTACTTGTTGTTTAAGGCAGTCATTACATAGACGAGATGACTCTTTACACTGCAAGTGAAGACCCACCCATCAGGTTATAAAGAACTGTTCCAGGAAGAGCCTGAATTCCTTTACCCCCCCCTCAGAGATTATTATGAATTAATTAAAATCAATTACTTTAGATGTCAGTATTTTAATATCCCAGATATTCTGGACAAGAGTTCTGACCACATACTACCTCCTTCATTCAAGTAAGCCCAATTACACCTGTGTAACATTTCCCAGCTTCCACCTGCCTCAGCTCCTTTCATCAAAGGAAAATACCAAATATGATTCTTCCCTAGAACAGAAAAAGAGTCACACCAGACTTGATATGTTAACTCTGTTTCTCTCTCCAGCATTCTCTGTGTTTGCCTCAGCTTCTCTGCTGATGAAACATTTATCGTTATATTTTGTATCTCCAGCCCAGCCTACTTCATTGTTCTCTGAGCTGGTCACCCATCAACCACATGCTTGTGGTCATCAAAACCCCTGTTGCCTTGCTGTAAACATCATTAACCCACTGTGCCTCCTCTTACTATCCTATGCTGGCTGTTGATCCTGCCAATGCCTTAATTTTAAAATTCCTATTCTTGTTTTCAAATTCCTTCTTCCCTCCTTCTCTCCCTACCTGTGTAACCTCTTCCAGTTGTTGCACACGCAGGTTTGACACAGAACTCCATGTTAGTCTCACAGAACTACAAATAAATTACAGCACAAAGAAGGCCATTGAGTCCAAAAGGTCCATGTCTGTTTTCAGCTTCAGACCAGTAGCCCCCACTGTACACCGTTAAACCAAAACAGCATATTCTTCTGTTCCTTTCTCCTCATGTATTTGTCCAGCTTCCCTTAATTAAGTCTATTTTATTTGCTTCAGTACTCCATGTATTGACGAGTTTGATATTCGAACCTCTCTCTCTGCAAAGAAGTTTGTCCTGAATACCTTGTGCTATATTAGCGACTAAGTTGCATTTATCATAGAGTCCGTACAATGTGGAAGCAGGCCATTTGGCCCATCAAGTCCGCACCAACCCTCTGAGGAGCATCCCACCCAGACCCACCCACTCTACCCTGTCCCTGTAATCTGCATTTCCCATGACTAATCCAGCCAGCCTGCACATCCCTGGACACTATGGACAATTTAGCATTGCTAATCCACCTAACCTGCACATCTTTAGATTTATGAGAGGAAAAGGGAGCACCCGAAGGAAACCCACGCAGACACTGGGAGAATGTGCAAACTCCACATAGACAGTCACCCAAAGCCAGAATCGAATCTGTGTCCCTGGCACTGTGAGGCAGTGCCACCCTTATCAGCCCCTGGTCTTGCACCATCACCCCTCCACCCCAATTGATAACAAATAGAAACTACCCTAGGTAGCCTATCAAACACATTCCTAAGTTTAAAGACCTCAATTTGGTGACCTTTGGGAAAAAAACAGTAAAACAAAACAGAAAAAATACCTGAGAAATCTATGTACTGCTTGGACTGGAATTCCATTTTCAGGTATTCAGACCAGTTTACTGTTTTTTTCCTGCTCTCAATCCTTCTCTTTTACCAAAAAAAAAATCTGTCGTTATAAATTATTTTGCAGCTTCTGTAGTTTCTCTTTGTAATGTGGAAACTAGAGTTGAGGATAGTTTTCTAAACATATTTTATCAAACTCCATTGAAGCTTTAACATAACTTCCCTACTTTAAGCTTCTTCCTGGATCAAACAGAATGTCCAGAATTAAAATACTGGAAGTATTATAGAACACAGAGCAGTACAGCACAGCACAGGCCCTTTGGCCCACGATGTTGTGCCGACCTAGATCAAACTAACCTGCACACCCTGCATTTACTATCATCCATGTGCCTATCCAAGAGTCGCTTAAATGTCCCTAATGTCTCTGACTCTGCTATCACTGCTGGAAGTGCATTCCATGCAACCACCACTCTCTGTGTAAAGAACCTACTCTGTCATCTCCCCTATACCTTCCTCTAATCACCTTAAAATTATGCCCCCTCATAATAGCCATTTCTGCCCTGGGAAGAAGTCTGTAGCTATCCACTCTATCTATGCCTCTCATCATCTTGTTCACCTCTATCAAGTCACCTCTCATCCTTCTTCGCTCCAATGAGAAAAGCTCTAGCTCCATCAACCTTTCCTCATAAGACCTGCCCTCCAGTTCAGGCAGAGTCCTGGTAAATCTCCTCTGCACCCTCTTTAAAGCTTCCACAGCCTTCCTATAATGAGGCAACCAGAACTGAACACAATATTCCAAGTGTGGTCTAACCAGGGTTTTATAGATCTGCAGCATAACCTCGTGGCTCTTAGACTCAATCCCCCTGACAATGAAATCCAACACACCATACATCTCTTAACAACCCTATCAATGTAGGTGGCAAGTTTGAGGGATCTATGGACATGGACCCCAAGATCCCTCTGTTCCTCCACACTGCCAAGAATCCTGCCATTAACCCTGTATTCTGTATTCAAATTCGACCTTCCAAAATGAATCACTTCACACTTTTCCAGGTTGAATTCCATCTGCCACTTCTTTGCCCAGTTCTGCATCCTGTCAAAAAACCCGTTGCAACCTACAACAGGCCTCCACACTATCGACAACTCCACCAACCTTCATGTCATCGGCAAACTTACTAACCCACCTTTCCACTTCCTCATCCAAGTCATTTATAAAGATCACAAAGAGCAGGGGTCCCAGAACAGATCTCTGTGGAACACCACTGGTCACCAAGCTCCAGGCTGAATACTTTCCATCCACTACCACTCTCTGTCTTCTATTAGACAGCCAACTCTGTATCCAGACAGCCAAATTTCTCTGAATCCCATGCCTCCTTACTTTCTGAATGAGCCTACCATGGAGAACGTTATCAAATGCCTTGCTAAAATCCATATACACCACTTCCACTGCTATCCCTTCATCAATGAGTTTTATCACATCCTCAAAGAATTCAATAAGGCTTGTGAGGCATGACCTGCCCCTTAGAAAGCCATGTTGACTATCTCTAATCAAACTATGCTTTTCCAAATAATGATATTTACTGCCTGTCAGAATCCTCTCCAATAATATGCCCACCACAGAAGTAAGACTGACTGGTCTGTAATTCCCAGGGTATGAGTAATTTAGTTTGACTAATTAAGAATTATCCTCTCTTGGGTGTAAAAGTGAAGGAATCTAGGGATATGTGGGAATATGGGGTCAGGTCCAATATACAAATACACATAGCAGTAGACCATTCTGCCCTCTAACCTGTTCCACCATTCAATAAGATCGTCACTGATCTGATTGTAACCTCAAACCCAGGTTCCCAACTACCCCATAATCTCTCACCCCATAGATGACAAGAATCTATCTAACATGGCCTTAAAAATATTCAATGACCCCCAACTCCATTGCTAACTGAGTGGAGTGTTCCAAAAGTCTGTCTCTGTCTTAGTGAGAAACCCCTTACTTTTAAACTATATTCTTTAGTT